TTTACATTTTTTTTGTAAATAAATAAGTTATACTTTTCAGTTTTCCTAAAACTTTATTTTTTTAATTTTATTGACTCTTTAAGAATTCCACATAATGTATTTTGACCATATTAAGACCTTCTCATTCATTTTCAGGTAAATGGATAGAACTAGAGACTCATACTAAACAAGCAACCCATGTTCTCCATTTGTGGATTATAGCACCAATCCTTTATATGTGAGTATAAATTCTGATGTCACACCTGGAACCAGGAAAAGGAAAACGATACACGGAGGTAAAGGAAAAGAAAGAACCTGAAAAAGGGGAAGAGTAGGGAACAGATGTTAGCAGGGGAGAGGTGGGGTAGTGGGAGTGTAAGGCTGGGAAGGGAGGAGGGAGGTATATGTGGGGGGCACAGTGGGAGAAGAGGGAACTCATTAGAAAGGGAATGACAGGAAGAGTTTGTTATTGGGGGGAGGGTGGGGATACTGTGGGGGGTGCTTGGACTCAGGAGGGAGGAGGGAGTTTAGATGGTGGGAAGGAATGTAGAGACCAATGAATCTTGAGGTGCTCCCCAGCACCCAGAGGGAAATGTGTCACCTCTGAAACCCCCTGAGAAATGCACATAAATGTTTGAGTATTAGTGTATATGTACACCTGCTGGCTGTATGGCAAGGAAAATAGTGCCAGACAGGAGAGACCTCCCTTAGAGAGGTTGGTCAGAGCAGTCCGAGACTCCCAAAGTAACACAGACTATTGACAGAGCAATTGGTTATCTCCCAGAACTAGAAGACAGGACCTTACTGCTGGAGACAGGACACACTAAAGGTACAAGACTTGGAGTAATGGAGCAGGAACTGACCTGGAAGACTTCTACCTGAAGTTTAGATCTCATAGTTCTAGAGAAAAATCAATCAATGGTCCAATCTAGTCCTAAAACCTAATAGCCATAATGATCAGCACAGCGAACTACCTCTATTGGTACAGTGGTGGCGCCATTATCTGGGGAGTAATCAATTACCTAATTGAACTAAAAGCCCTCTCAATGGGAGTGAATCTGTGGGAGGCACTGTATATGACTAGAGATGTCATATATCTTAGAGAAAACGTTATCTGTCATATCTCTAGACAAATGAAATTTCTTACCATATGCAAAATATGGATCCTTATATTTACAGACAAGTATATAGTACAGAACTCATCAAGGAAATGCACAGAAGCTCAATAAAAATTTAGAAAAAGAGAGTCAATCAGAGGGACTCTTACTGAGGGCAGTGCATTCTGGTGACATTCTAGAAGCTGCTGAGGAGAAAGACAACCCGGAGGGGGAGGGGAAAACGATGCTGAAGGGTGTGCAGATTTAGAAGTTAGCTGATGATGACTTTGAGTGCAGTGCTCCACAAATGCCAGATTGTAGAACAGACCATGATGACAGTGATGACGCCAGTATTTCATCATCACAAGAAGAAGAACAGGAGGAATTGCTTCCCAGGACAGAAAGCAATGGACTGATTGTAACTGGTATGTGGGAAGCAGGAGGAGCTGCTACAGCTTGGCAGGGACCCTGGAATGTACTTTGAATTTAATTCAGAACACATACATCCTGACCTCAATGTGCTAGAATCTAAACAGAAACAAGATGAGATGAGAGAGAGAGAGAGAGAGAGAGAGAAGAAAAAGAAAAGAGAAGAGAAAAAAGAAAAGAAAAGAAAAGAAAAAAGAAAAGAAAGGGGGCTGGAGAGATGGCTCAGCAGTTAAGAACAGTGACTGTTCTTGCAGAAAACCCGGGTTCAAATCCCTGGACCACATGGCAGCTAAAAACTGTAACTCCAGTTCCAGGGGATTCGACAGCCTCTTCTGTCCTCTGCAGGCATTGCACAATACGGGTGCACTTACATACATGCAGGCATATCATACACATAAAATAAAAAGAATACATAAAGTATTTAAAGAGAGAGAGAGAGAAAGAAATAAAGAAAGAAAGAAAGAAAGAAAGGAAAGAAAGAAAGAAAGAAAGAAAGAAAGAAAGAAAGAAAGAAAGAAAGAAAGAAAGACACAGAGCTGGGCAAAACTACACTCAATTACTTCCTTATTGGCTCAAGTTCCTGTATCACAAAAAGTAAAGATAAAGAAACAAAATCCTCTTTGAAAAAAAAAATTAAAAAAGAAAATAAAGATAAAAGGCGCCCAAGAGAAGGAGGAGAATCTTGAATTGGCAGACAAAGTGATATAGATATGTAAAGATAAAAGATATCTAAAAACAGCAATTTCAAACTTTCTTAGAAACAAGCAAATTAAAATATCTAGAAAGATAAAATAAATCATACTGTACATAATAAACCCAATGAAAACAAGGTTTCTTATTCCAGATTAACAAAGTTTATTAGAATTACAGAGAAACAAATTAACACATGGCAGTTATAAAGATAGGACCAGAGTCTGTGTCATTCCAGTGAAATAGGTAAGAGAGCTTTTAGGGAAAATCTGATGTAAGTTCTCTTGTTGTAGGCAAAGCTTGTAGAATAAATAGCAAAGATCACCAGTTCTAACTGCATTCTACCTTATTTCAGGCCATAAGAATTTGAGAAAATTCCAGTTTAGTGTGGTGGCATGAGGTTTAGGTATTTAAAGCTGGAGAACCATCATTCATAAGAGTGGGAGATGAGGTTCCCTTGCACTCCTTAATAGTAGTAGCCAAAACCTGAGCCATAGCCAGAGCCACATCCATAGCCACAGCCATGGAGAGAGCTAGAGCCGTAGCCATAGCCACAGCCCAGTCTGCCATAGCCACAACCATAACCAGAGCCATAGCCGTAGCCCAGGCCTCCATAGCCATAGCCCAGGCCTCTGTAGCCACAGCAGCCATAGCCTCGGCCTCCATAATAGTTTCCGTAGTAGCCACACATGGTGTTGGTTGTTGAGGTTGTTCTTGGATAGAGAAGGTGTGTAGGTGACTTGAGTCTGGATAGTTCTCCCTGTGGAGAGCCTTTTATATGTCCTCAGTGTGGGAGGGGCCAACATGTGCTCATGCCATTGCCTAATTTTATGACTGATCTCACTAGTTTGTTATTTTCTCAACCATAAGACAAAGCCTCAAAGTCTCAGAGTTTTTACAGATGCTTGTTTTGTTTGCCAATTCAGTGTCCTGAGAAAAATCTAGATCTAAAAATGACAGGAAACAGTTTTATACACAAATTATCACTTAAACGTCTATAACTCCGCCAGATTTCTGCAGGCTTCCTTTGGAGAAAACCCATTTTGACTGGCCCTCATCCCAAGATAAAACATGTATTCATCTCCTTGCATACCCCAAAGTAGCCATTTAAACCAATACATTTCCTTTATATTGTATTTTCAATTTTTAAAAAATTTTTCAATGTGTCCTCTGTCTACCTCCAAAGACAACAGAGAAATTTTCAATGCTTTTCTTCCCAGTAATGTAAATGACATAGATGTGAGTTTCACTAACAGGCCAGACATTTCTACATGGTACTAAAGTTATAAGACTCAAGATAAAACTTTTGTGGCAACCCTAAAAAAAAATTAAGTTGAGAGATTTTTTTTTAATTAAATTTTATTTTCAATTTCTGCTGGAAAAGGAAGAGTCAGTCTCAATAAAGGTGAGATTCTTGATATGTTGACCCTGGACTCCAGTGGATGAACCCAGGCAGAAGAGAAGGGGACACAAACCTGACTCTATCTATAGGAGTGTGTGTGTGTGTGTGTGTGTGTGTGTGTGTGTGTGTGTATGCATTGTATGTACATATATTCTATATATGTGATCATCATTCCACAAACCTGTCCAGAAACACTGATCAGAGGTGTAATAGTCCAAAGATGCTTCATGCTGAAATACATTTTCATATTACTATCAAGCAGGGTCAAAGAGTTGAGATTGCTTTATGTACTGGTAAAATAGGTTGAAGACAGGAACTCCTCTACATGTACTTAACTTTCATTTTGAATTCAGCACACAAGATATTTTCAATCTCTTTCATCCATCTGCCTTGACAAGTAATTCAAATGACAGAAAGTAGACTCAATCAAAGGAATATTTCTATCTTAGTAAACAAAATGCAATCATTTTCCATACACTTATAATAGCAAGTGTGTGTTTGTAAACTATGAACATTATTATGGTTATGTATTATCTCAGTCCTTCTGTAATAACTGTTAAGAAGTGTTGAATATGTCACTTTTAATTCTCCCTGAAGTAAGTATCAATTGCCTCAAATGTCATATGCTAGACCCCACCAAGTACTCATGATGAAATCTGAAATTTTAAATGAGTAGTAGTTGAAATAAGTCATTTTAGAACTTTAAGTCCTAATTATTATATGTAAAAGATTTTTGTTAAATTATATTAATTAGTAAAGAAAATAATCATTGAAATACTTTCATAACTTGAAAATGTCAGAAATTACAATTTGTCCTATAACTAAGGTCATAAAATTTTATGAGGAAAAGTCTCTTACCCTTAACCTTAACCTTACAAGCTATTGATTTCTTATGAAGAATTAATATTTAGTTTTATAATCAATGAGTGTTTTATGTAAAATACCATTTCTGTTTTTAATGAATAACTTATTTTGAGCACTTTTATATTTGAAGTAAAATCAAGCAGAAAGTAGAGAAATTTCTGACATACTTTTTGTATTGTCCTCTGAACAGCTTTTGCCTTATCAGCATCCAAGACCACAGTGTCACACAACTAATGCAATATATGCATCTCACTGACATATCATCAGCTCCCAGATTCCATAATTCATGCTCATGCTCACTGTTGATGATGCTTTTTCTTTGGACTTGATAAACGTTTAATGTGTGCATCCCCCATGTTGTATCATGCTGTTTTACTGCCCTAAAAATCCTCTTGGTATGCCTGTTTACATAGCATGCCTTTCCCCTTAAAAACAAATTTCCTTGCCTAGTGCTCTGAAATATAACTAGCATTTATAGCCCACAGAAACAAAACAAACTCATCTTTCCCCAAGGAAATTCTCATCAGCTCTTGAGGTCTTCTCTGGTTCACCACTCCTTTTATTTAAAATATTTATTCAGCCAGGCATGGTAGCGCATGCCTTTAATTCCAGCACTCGGGAGGCAGAGGCAGGTAGATATCTGTGAGTTCAAGGCCAGCCTGGTCTACATAGTGAGTTCCAGGATAGCTGGAGCTACAGGGAGACCCTGTCTCAAAAAGACAAAAAAAAAGTAAATAAAATAAAATATTTATTCAAAATATTTATGTCTAATATCTGTGCTCCATTTACATCCTTTCTCTCAGTGATTTGGACTTTTGAACTACAACGTTCCCACCGAGAACTCCCTAATCACAGTATAGTTTATTTCTTGTTATTTTGCTGAAGTCTGAAACAAAGTCCAAGTCCCTTGACCTAGACATTCAGTGATGACATATTCTTTCCCAGGTCAAATTTGTCTGGTCATGCTTTTCTTTATCATCTTGGACAATTTGACCTCTGTCTCAAACTATGGTCTTGAACTTTCAATGTTTTGACTATATAATCGGTTAACTACTGAAATACTAAGTCTTCATTTTTAAAATCCATTAGACATTTAACATCACCAAGATAGAGTCTTGTAGCACTAAGTGCATTCTCTGTGCATCATACACACTAAAAATTAACCTTCTGGGCTGGAGAGATGGCTCAGTGGTTAGGAGCACTGGCTGCTCTTGCAGAGGACCCGGGTTCAATTCCCAGCACCTATTTGATGGCCAACAACCATTCATAACTCCAGTTCTCCTGGGGACCTGAGGCCCTCTTCGGACCTCCAGTGGCATTGCACTACATGGATGCACTTACACACATGCAGGCAGTTAGTTCACTCATACACACAAAATAGAAATAATAAATTTTAAAATATTTTTTTAAAAATCACCTTCTACTTCCCCTGGAGGGTATCCTGCAGAGATTTCAGCCTGGGAGCATATCCTTCACAGATTCCAACGGGATGAGGATGCCTGTCCTCCAGGAGGCTCCCCTCACTTGGAGCGCTTTCCTGCTTCCTTCAGTTTGCAAGGTCTCACACATAGCTACTCTTCAGCATCTCAGAAGAGATTAGTTATTCCTCCTAAAGTTCTTAATCTTTGAACTGCCAATCTTTCTTTCTAAAAATAAGCATGTCTCAATTCTTCTCATGCATGGATGACCATTTAGTCCCTGGACATCATTTTTCATGTTTGTAACCCCAGATAAAAATTAAGTTATTCCATTCACTGGTTCCTATGATTGAGAGGTTCTTGTCAGTATCAGAAATTATTTAACTAATAATTTATTTGCTTATTTTCTGTCTCTAACTTACCCTGTAACTATTCAAAGGAGTAATTTTGTGAGAACAGAAACCTTTAAAGACTCCACATTCCTACGTCACCATTGTAAATATTGACAGGAGGTGGGATCATGATGGGGATTAAAAGAAAAGTTAGACATAAAAGAATGCAAGATAGTTTTCCAATATGAAATTTATAGTGTACTAAATATTTATTTTTCATGTCTAATGTCCATATACATCATAGCTCTCACCTATGTAAAATTTTATATTCCTGTTTGTGTACCTTATTTTTAATATAATCCATACCCAGGCATTTGAAAGAATTACTGTTTATAATTTCAAATATCCCACAGACTATATGTTCTTTGTTTCTTTCAAATGTCTTTTTTTTAAATCTACTTAAATATCTCTTGGTTTTTTTGTTTTGTTTTTATCTTTTTTTGGTCTTTTTGAGACAGTGTCTCCCTGTAGCCCCAGCTGTCCTGAAACTCACTATGTAGACCAGGCTGGCCTTGAACTCCCAGAGATCCGCCTGCCTCTGCCTCCTGAGTGCTGGGATTAAAGACATGCGCCTCCACACCTGGCTTCCCTTGGGGTTTTAAAAGATAAACATGTACACTGTTTTGAGTGAGTGGATAAAATGCATTTATTCCAGTTTTATATTAATATACTGACCTTTAAGATAGTCAATTTTAAAAGCAGTAATATGAAGTTTAGTGTGTACAATTATCTTTGGAGAGTCAATTCTAATAATCTGTCTAATATTAGATAGCTTTCATGTATTATAGAAAATTTAAGGCTAAGATGTATATATTTTTAGAGCATTTGGCTAGTATGCATAGGTTCTCAAGTTCAATGCTCAGCACAGGAAGACAAAGAATGAAAAATGTAAGGTTTCATAGGACAAAGCCAGATTCATCAAGAAAATCTTCATTATGATTATATAGTTACCTGTATTTTGATAGGCATTAGTGAATTTAAGTGCTTTAAAGTAAATTGAAGCACATAGAAAAAAAACCACTTTAATGTAGAACCTAAATATTCTTGAGCCAGAGATTACCATCTCTATCCTGAGAAGAGGAATCACCATTCTCTGATTTTGTCTTGTGTATCTAGGGTGTCAATCTTGAATGGAAAGTGTTTCCAAATAAGAATATAATGCACAGCAAAATGGGAGAGGTAAGGCTTAGATGTCTAACAGCCATATAAAATATACTCCTGAAGAAATTGTTGTACACAAATATAAAATTCTCTTTGAAGCATAAAGCACCCCAATCTATACCCAGAAGTGACTCCTGCTTTAGAGATTCTTCCCAGACAACTTGATGTTCATTTGCATTCCTTATGCTAGTTCTTAATTTAGCCGCAAGAAGAACATAACACTTAAAATCAACACCATTACAACCAACAATAAATATAGGGTACAGTTTATAAGATCTTGTGAACGCTAAGCTATCATACCATCAAATACTCATAGTTAAAAGGCACATTTTTGTGTTAAAGTCACATGATTTCATGGCAGACATTCCACAGCAAGGATCTTTGTTACACTGGTTGCAAAGAATTCTTGAAGTGCTTTCTTATTGCTCATTTGTTAGGAAAGGAATCAGTTCTGACTATGGTTTTCTACATACCTTTTGTATTGTAGAGCCCAAAATACATGAAGTGATTATATTCTTCAAATGAATCTCTTACATCTGATTCTTATGCGGTTACAGCAATGATCACAGCCTGCTGTAGCTACAGTTGTATAGGCTGGCACTGGGGCTGAGGTAAAAATAAACATGCGTGCTATATGGTTCATGATGTTATGGAAAATATTTGAATATTTACCTTCTGGTTTTTATTAAAATATTCTAAATTACTTATCCTTGGTATAATTCTTATTGTGAAATAATTCTTTATCTAGAATCACCATTTCTTTGTTTGTTTGTCTTTTTGAAAGCTATCATATAGCCCAGGCTGGCCTTGAGCTCACTGTGCAGTTGAAGATGACTGCATCTCTTGAGTGATGCCCACCACTGCCAGCACAGCCAATTTATGGAATAATGAGCATTGATTCCAGGGCCTTGTGCTAGAATGCAAGCGCCGTACTAACTGAAATAACTATTCTAATTCTAGAATAGTCATGGTAAAAAAAAAGGCTCAGATTAACCTTTGGAAATATCCAAAATTTTTACTGAGGAAGATATTACATTCATTTTGTATTTTGCATAAATCAAATCTTTAAAAAAAGTACTTTTAGACTTTTAAAATATTTTTTCCTATTTTTAATTGTGTGTGTGTGTGTGTGTGTGTGTGTATGTGTGTGTATGAATGTAAGTGTAGGTGCTTGCAGAGGTCAGAGGCATTGCATCCCCTGGAACATGAGTTGCCAGAGGCTACTGGAAAATTGGAGCAGGTTCTGTATAAGAACAGCAAGTGTTCTCAACCACAGGGCTATGTCTCTTTCCCTAATTTTAGTTCGTCATTAAATATAAGTTCTTTGACAACTGAATCTCATATTTTTAAGCAAAATTACCTTTACTACATATGAACATGAAAATGTAGGTGCACACAGGGGTGTGTGTGTAGCATCACAGGCTGTTTTTATTTTTACTCACTGAAGTCTGTTCACAGGGCATCAAATTATTAAAATCTCCAGGGAGAAAAGCCTTGTTGCAAAATTCTAAAAGAATTTCAATATGAAGCCATCAAAATAGCTGACATGGTGAGTGGAAGGGAACATCATTAGAATTGACAAATTTACCCAAGAGATGCACAAAACAGTCATCTGAAGTATGTACTTCACAAAGAAGATGCCATTTGTATTGATTTTAGAATCATAAATGTGGTCATGCACCATGTATCTCAGTAAATATCCATTAATTTAGGAAAGAAAGGATGAGAATCACAGTGTTGCAAGTTTAGAATCCGTGCGAAATGGATAAATGACAGCACACGTGCATACGAGCTTCTATAGTTCAGCTTCTGCAGCTGTGACTTTTGTTTTGCCCCTGCTTTTGATATCATATCCATGAAATCTTTGCTAAAGCCAGTATCGATTTTTTCTACCTTTTTATAGAATTTTAGGTTTTGTAGTCTTGTACTTAAAACTTTAATTATTTTACTTGATGTTTTGTGTGTGGTGTAAGATTAAGATTTAGTTAATCTTAAAAGATATTCAGTTTTCCCCAAGTAGGATATTGGAAACTGTCCTCTCCTCATTGTTGATTTTTACACATAATGTCAGAGACTATCTGACTGTATACAAGAACGTTATTATTGGACATTCTACACTGTGTCATTTGTCTCTGTGTCTGTTATAGTAATAGTGAGCTTGTTTACGTTACTGTACTTTTCTAATATATTTTAAAATCAGGAAGTGTAAGGCTTCTTTCTTTACACTTCCTCAGATTTTCTTTGGCTATTGGTGGTATTTAATGGTTTCATGTTAATTATTTTGGGGATTATCTTTCTATTTCTGTAAAATATACCAGAGGAGTATTGATATATATTTTATTTAAGCTATAAATCACTTGATTTATAAACAGCATTCAAAAAATTACTTCTTCCAATTCATGAAATGTGACGTCTTTCTACTTTTCCTGTTGACTTTAGTTCCATCCAATTGTCATTTTGAAGTATCTGCAGGACATGCTTTAGCATCTTCAGTTGTTTATGCCTAAGTATTTTGTTCTTTGAGGTGCTATTGTAAATAGGATAATTTCCTTAATTTCATACTGCTAACATACAGAAAAAAAAACTGATTTTGGATGTTTGATGTAGCCTGCAAGTTTCCTGAATTTGTTTATGATATAATTTTGTTTTGAGTATTTAGGGTTTTATATTTAAATATATATTATTGGAACACAGATTATTCTACCGTGTCCTTTCTGCTTTGTCTGGATCTTATCTTATCAAATCCTGTATCACACTCTCTACTCCCAAGGCTCAAAGATATAAAGATAGTATCCTCCAAAACTATGAGAGGAAGGCTTCAAGGAGGTGACTTCCTGGTCAGTTACATTGCTCCTTGCTCCAAGTCCTGCATCTGATGTATGTCTTGTCTTTAGCAATAAGGTCTTACCTTCAGGTTCTGAGAGGCAATCAAGGACTATGGCAATAGCCTGTGTAATTTTTGGATGTTTCTTGGACTACCCTGGCCAACAACTCAAAGGGAGGTTTCTCCTGCCTGGCACTGTTTCTTTTTATGCACATAGACTCATGTATAGATATTGTATGTATAATTTTTCAGTAGGCTTTGAACTAATGCATTTTGCTCTGGTTTGAGACAGGGTCTTCCGATAGCTCCAGCTGGACTAGAACTCATTATGTAGCCCAGGCTGGCCTAGATCTCACAAGATCTGCCTGTCTCTGCCTCCCCAGTGTTCAGATTAAGATGTGTGCCACAAGGCTCCACTGAATAAAAATACTTTTAAAAGAAAAAAAATAATCAAAGACTAAATAAAAAATTAAGAATGAACTCAACTTTCAAAACATCCCTATTGAAAGAGAAAATCATTTCTCACATTATTTGAAATTCTAAAATTTACAGTATTTAGCCAAGTCACATAATCCTTAATCCCAGCACACTTGAAAGGTAGAGGCAGGCAGACATCTGTGAGATGGCAGTCAACCCAATCTACAGAGTGACCTCCAAGCCAGCTGGTAGCTATAAAAAGACCCTGTCTCAAAAGAAATTACAATATTTATGAGCAATTTACTGTATAAAGCTATCTCAAGAAGAGAAGCAAATATAAAGATCTGAAAATGTATAGTATGTACTTGCAATGAAAGAGCTAACAAAAATCTATTAAAAGCAGAGGAATGAACATGGCATGAGGTGAAGAGAGGTTGAGGAATTTTCCTAGTATTTAGGCTGAAGGCAAGAAAAGACAAAACGAAACTGCAAGAGACTTTTCATAAAGATTCTAGATGACCTTCATGAAAGAGCTGAAATTTCATAAATTGACAGGCAGAGAGTAAAGGGGGG